AAGTTTGCTACCAATTCTTCTGAGCAGCGGACTTCATTCACTTTAACCCAGCTAAATACTTGCTTTCTTTATAGGATCGGATGAATATGAAAATGTGCAGTAGATTAGTTCAGTGGAAAAAAGGAATAATCGGCGCTGTGCAACAACTCTGTTGAGTTTGGAATATCCTGTAAGTGAGTAGAGGTCAAATGAGAATGTGGGATGCCCTGAGGTGACTCTGCCAGTGTTCAACAGACACGAAAATTCGTCATACTAGATGTGCTGGAATCCAACGTTTTTTGGGGATAGACCAGGAATCAGGTCAGCAAATTAAAACGTAATACTATGAGGAATCTTTTCCTCAGAGGCAATTCAGTCAAATAAACTAAAATATGCATTCATACAATTAGAATGAAGGAGGCACGCGCATAAAACAATACGTTGAAAACAATCGTTTGTTGGTGAGTTCCTGTTAGAGGAGTAGTAATGTATAAATCATATTTTTGGTATGTGGATATGACATAATGACGATATACATTTCAGCTCCAAAACAGATCGAGCTTTTTTACCAGAAATCAATTGCGTCAAGACAAGAGAAATGGGGCCTGAGAATTTCCGCTTTAACTGCACTTTTGCTAGCGACTCGTTTGATCCAGTTCATTGAAACTTTACTTGGTTTCTTTCATACGGTAAACTTTCAGAGACTTAGATGCGTGTAACAGAAATGATTATGATTTTTGCATTATGAGTTTCTTCCCTGAACGTGTGCTGACGTGAGTTTATATATGACATACTCAGGAAAATTTTTTTATCGGTTTCTTCTGTCTTCGTAGTATTTCATTTGTTTTTCACACAGCTTAATTTTTTTGAAAGTGGCCGCGCCTCGATTAAAACTTATTTCGTTTGCAAAGAACAAGTCAAAATCTTACACCGTAATATTACTGTAATTGGTATATTCATGCTGAAACTGCATTAACTTCTATCACGTGTATTATTAATGAACAACATAGTTACTAAAAGTTTTACTTAACCTCGATTTATTATCATAGAAGTTAGTTGCATAGTTCTCCAAAATCTTCGTTCCATTCTGCTTTCTTTTGTATTTATGCAGTTTTTCTTTCAAGCCCGCACCTGTGCATTTTTCATTTTCATACAACTTTCATATACTGCTTACTTCATTGCCTTTGTTTATTATCACACTGGTATATGACCATTATTCTCGTTCCCAGATTTAGTCCCTTTTAATAAATATTTATACTTCACCTTCACTTCACTTTTGGGTTGCGAAGGCACACGCTTCAGACAGTGCTTCCAACGTTCCCGATCCTGTGCCGGAGTTTGAGTTTCGGCAGAAGACAACGGGTCTGGACCATGCTCCTTCCATTTATTTGC